TTTTTTTTTTTTTTTTTTATTTCTAGAGATTCTATGCTTTGATGGTTAAATTTCTAATTAAACGCTGCTCGAAAAGAAAATTTCTTTCGTCAACGAGGAAAATAAAGGGAGATAAGTTGTATCTTCTTCCTATTTTTTTTCTTTCTTTCGTTTTTCATTACATGGTCCCAATCAGATCAAACTAACACAGAATCGTGGAGTGCACATAAAGACAATTACGATGGCTCTGCAAAGTTCGATTAGAAATCGATAGGGAGAAAAAAGAGAAGAGAATTTTGCAAGAGTTACTCTGTCTCGTGTGTTTCGTCGGGAAACTTAACGAGCACGATGAAATGTGAAAAAGTCGTAGAATTGAATTTATCGAAATCTCGTTCGTCTGAGATTACGCGACACATCGGGAGAATCGATTTTCCAAACCCAGCTTCGAGCAAACGTTTCTTTTGACTGGTTATTATTAACTAACGTTGGATATTGTGTTTGTGAGCGAAGAAAGTTCAAGAGACTCGAGCGTCAACTTATCGCTGAATTATTTTTTTCTGCATGAGCTTCTCAGAGATTAAATTGCTGCATCTTGTGTTGTTGTGTGAAACCGCAAACTCAATTTTCCACGAAGTTCTCAATTTCAGAGACAGATGAAAGGTGGCGTAAATAATTGTCAATTTTCAAGGCAAATTTCTTTTCCACGCGTTTTACTTCTTCAAGAGACTCGGCGTTGTTCGTAGCTCGAGCGTTTGTTGCGTGTTTCGTTATTTTTAAGAAGCTGAGCAGTCGAGCTCTCCATTAAGCTCTCTCGTGGTTAAATCGGTTAGCTCGCGGTAAAAATTCAGTAATAAAGTGCTCTCCTCTCCCCCTCTCTCTCTCTCTCTTCCTCGTTCTCAACCGGTCTTGCTCATGCTCGTTTAACTCTACCGATTCTGCAATTCCTCCCGGTGATTGCGTTAATTTTAATTCAACTTCTCTCTCGATCTCGTCCCCTCGATCTTATCTGTCTCTATGACCTTTCAGGTTAACTTTCAGGTCGATTTTCGTAGAAGAGATTATGAGAGAATCTGCTTCATTTATCATCTCGAAACAGAAAACTGATG